CCCTATCATTGTTCTCGGCTAGGGATGAATGATAGTTCAACTAAAGTAATTTATGCAGAGATGAGAGTAAAAAATTGTTTGCATTCTAGAAGAGATGTTTCTTAAATCAAATAGTTTCTAATTGATAATATTTAAATATGTAACAAAAAGGCAATTTGTTGTTTTTTTTCAAGGTGTTAAAAATTGCATAATAACAAAGATGTGTGCACACAGACTATAGTGTGCATCTGTTTTTATATTTAATCGGCATTGCAGACACATGTATCTGCATTCCATTGGTCTTCATAAAGCAGAGCAGCTATGCCTGGGGAAGAATACCAACCATGGGAACTGAAAATGAGAAACGGATAGGGTAGCCCTCTTATGCTATCCGTTGTGAGCTATTTTAAGAGTTTTTAAGATTTTTGTATGCATGATTCTTGATAAATAAAATGAATGATTCAAGAGTAATACTTTGGGGTCTGGCATTTTAGAACGCACAGTTATTCTCATACCAAGGTCAAGGGTTTGGATCCTCATACCAGCCAGCTGCCCAGAAAAAAAGTAATGCTTAGGCCATTTATTGACATATTCACCTACTGTTTGGAATCGCTTGATTTGTAATGTGGATGAGTACCTATCAGAATTTTACCCAGATAATTAGGAAATCATTAGTAAATGCATATAGGCTACTTACTCATACATCGCTTTTTACTCCTAGAATTGGACTTTGTTAAGCTACTTAACTGAGTATTAGATTTCAGACTTAAGAATTTGCCAACTGCTATCTAGCCAGAACTTAAAAGTACACAAATGTATATGTATTCTTTTGTAATCCAGTGTTCTATATTTTATGTGGTTCATATTGAAAATCTATTACTTTCTAATTTATTTACACAGAGGTGAAACTAAGTTCTCTTAGTAATCCTCTGTGACAGGTTAGACAGTTGACATTTTGGGGTTGGATATTAGTAAATTGACAGTAATCCATATTCTACTTCCCAGTTCACAATTTATATACAACTTTTTTTTTTTTCCTTTTTGTCTTTTTTCATGTCCGGCAACGGATCGCAACCCTCAGTGTCACGCCCGTACCGGACCGGGACCGGCAACGGGATCGCAACCCTCGGTGTTGCCCCCACACCTCGCTCAGCCAGTGAGCGGGAACTGGTCTGTATGTGGGATCCGAACCCTCAGTGGGAGCGCCGCCGCGCTCCCAAGCGGCGCACTGTAGCAGTGCGCCACCGGGCCGGCAATATATACAACTTTTTAAAAATTGATGTTTTGTGTGTTCTAGCGATGCCAGTACCATTTCCCCAGCACTCTAGTATTAATGATTTTGTTGACATTTATTGAAGTACTGCTGAGTATAAATTTCAGTTTCCTGAGATCAAATGTACCTGCTTCTTTTCCATGAAGAGGAAGTGCCTAAAACAGTCACTGAAAGTTAATTTCTAAACATGGGTGTAGTGGATAGGAGGAGCCGGTTCTGAAGGAATGCCAGAGAATTTATAAGCTGAATTGTACAAAGCCTGAGATAAACCCGGACTTGGAATAATTTTTTGTGAAATGTCATATTCCATCATTGATCTCCCAAACATAAAAAAAAAAATCTGTTATTATGGAAGTTTTACACACACAGAAAAATGCAGTGAGCCTGCCCTCCATGTACTTCCCACTTCTCTTCAGTAACCATCACTTTTCACTCTTACTTCTTCCATCTATGCTACTCCTCCTACTTTTGTTTTACTTTTATTTATTTTTTTTAGCTGTAGATCTTAAAACAGATTGCAGGCATCATCTCCTCTCACAAATAAGTATGTTAGTATGTATCCCTAAGAGATAAGGACTTCTGAAATATCTAACTTCGGGCCGCCTGGTGGCGCACTCGGTAGAGTGCGGTGCTTGGGAGCGTGGCGGCGCTCCCGCTGAGGGTTCGGATCCCATATACAGGCTGGTCCGCTCACTGGTTGAGCGTGGTGTGGGCGCGACACCGAGGGTTGTGATCCCATTACCGGTCACGAAAAAAGACAAAAAGGAAAAAAAAAAAGAAATATCTAACTTCATACCATTGTTATAATAATTATGGCTCTGTAGTATCATTTAATAGAAAATTTATTTTCATATTTCCATGATTGTCTCAAAATTATCTTTTTTCCAGTGAGTTTTAGTGAAAATCCAAAGTCCACTCATTGCTTTCGATTAATATTTCTTTAATTTCTTGTAATCAATATACTGTATAGTTCTCTTTTTTCCTGTTACCCATGTCATTTCTTTGTTGAAACTAGGCCATTTGTTCCAAAATTTTTTCCACATTCTGGATTTTGCTTTTTAAAATGAAAGGGGAGAGGAAAATTAGTCTCAGAAGAGATCCTTTTTCCATGCCAGTAATATTTTGTTGAGTATTTAACCCATAGTGAGATAAGAGAAGGGCTGTTTGAAATGGATCATTGAACAAAACAGACAAAAATCCTTTTTTTTCATGACATTTACATCCAGGGGAGGTAGACAATAAATAAAAATGGATTGTAAACTTTGTGAGAAATTCTCTGAAAACAGTAGGGCATAACAAGGGGATAGGGAATTGTAGGACCTTGTTGGACACGTAAGATGGCTGATTGAATGTGGTAGGAGCCAGGGAAAGTGGATCAGAAGAGGAACAGGATCTGATTTACATTTAAATGGATCACTTTGGCTGCGGAGCAAGTGTGGAAGCAGGGGTCCCCTTTTGAAAGTATTCTGTAATCCAGGGAGGAGTGGGTAGAGGACCTGACCTGGGGAGAGCAAGTGAGCCAAAGAGTAGGCAGGGTTCTGACTCCAGCAGCTGGAAGGATTGAAGAGGAAGGAGGGGCATAGAGGGTCTCAGAAGGCTTTGTCAAAGGCAGAGGCTGCATAGCTGCTCCATTTCCATTCACTGTTCTGTTGATCAAGGACTTGCAAAAGCCATTACTTTTTGAAGGGTATCCTGGTATGTTAAGAGCCTTTTGATTTTGTTGAGTAGTTAGGTGCTTAAATGATCCTTTTTTTCTTTTTTCTTCTTTTAAACTTTGTGAAATGCTTTGTTTTAAAATGTTATTTAATGGCTTTGAAAAACTAACTGCTTATTATTAGACATTGAGAAATTTGAGGGTTTGAGTATTTAATAACAATTGCACTTGGCTATTTTTTAAAAATTTCAAAGCTATAAAGAATTAAAGAATAAAAATATGAACACTCATATTCCCTTCATCTAAATTCAGCAAGTAACATTTTGTAGCATTTGATTTAGAAAATATATATGCACCTTTTTTTTCCCCAAACCATTTGACAGTAAGTTGCACACACCAAAAATACCCAATAGTAGTGCCATATGATCATCTAATATATAGTAATATTCATATTTTTCCTATTGTTCCCTTTCTCAGGATTTGTCTATTTCCTCATGATTAGATTCTTGTTAAACTGTGAAGGTGTACTTTTACCTTTTGAAGACTTGGAAATAGAAGCATGGGGATAGTGTGGGTTTTACAAAGGCTTTTGTAAGTATCTCTTCCACTTACTACCAAGTATTAGCAGAGCATCTGATCTTGCAATAAACATTGTCACAGAAACTAACCTTAAATCTAAGGGATTTTAGATTTTATCTCGGGAACTCACAAACTGCAGAAAAATACAGATTAGGCACACTCTTTAAAACAGAAACTGAAAGCTGGACTTTGACACCTTTAGATATGGAGTGTGTTTTCAGATTTGACCTAGTCCCCCACTCCCATTATTTAAATAATGAGCTTCCCCTGAGGCTTTTAAGCATATGACCCCTATACCCATCTCTTTCATTTTATAGCTAAGGAAACTACAGGCCTGGAGAGGTTAAGTTGCTGAGGAACACCTAATTAGTAAGGGACAGAATAGTCAGTTCCTGGACCCTTGGTCTCTTGAAGACCCAGTTGATTTTCTACCCGAGCTCCAGTGATTTGTATTGACTGGACAAGTAGAAAGTTTACAGTCTTAGCATCTTCCGGTAGGTCCTAAATTTATTTTACACCGTTCTTTCTATAGCATTTTAAGACAGTGGATTTCTTTTTTTTTTTTTTCCTTTTTGTCTTTTTTCGTGTCCGGCAACGGGACCGCAACCCTCGGTGTTGCGCCCGCACCTCGCTCAGCCAGTGAGCGGGAACCGGTCTGTATGTGTGATCCGAACCCTCGGCAGGAGCGTCGCCACACTCCCAAGCGGCGCACTGTAGCAGTGCGCCACTGGGCCGGCCCAACAGTGGATTTCTTACACGGGTTTAGTATCCTTTATCTGAAATGCTTAGTAACAAAAGTGTCAGATTTTGGATTTTGTCAGATTTTGGAATATTTGGAGCATACATACCAGTTGAGCATCCCTAATCCAAAAATCTGAAATGCTCCTATGAACATTGCCTTTGAGCATCATGTCAGTGTTTGAAAAGTTTTGAATTTTGGTTGGTTGGTTTTGGTGGCTGGCCCGTGAGGGGTTCTGACCCTGTGACATTGGTATGATAAAGTTGTGTTCTGACCAACTGAGCCAACCAGCCAGCCCCAAAAGTTTGGATTTTGGAGCATTTTTGGAGTTTATATTTTCAGGATAGCGATGCTCTACCTTGAAAGAAAGTGAGCTGAGGTGCTGCGTACTGTTCAAGGTTTACTAAAGGAAGAAAATCTGCCAAGCTGTGCTCAAAGTGGCAGGCAGCCCAGGGCTGCCCTGAAAATGGGAATAGCCTCAACAATCAGTCTGCGAAGGTTTATATTAACTTTTGGGTGCAAAATGTACAGGGGGAGGGACCATTAGGTTGATGTAACTGGCTGGAGAACTGCACCAGTGCAGAAGCCAGAAAGTTGTTTCTAAGTCAGGAGGCTTCTGGTAAAGGGAAAGGGGGAGGGGCTTGGTGCTGGAGAGGAAGACGAGGCTGGCAGCTATTTTGTGCTTATTGTATGCACAATGGCGCTGGCCACATCCAAAATCCATCATACCTGTATCTCTTTTTTCATAGTAACTTTCTTTTTTTTTTTAGCTACAAGGCTTTGGCCGACCACGTGTATACCATGCTGCTATTGTTATCTTCCTTGAATTCTTTGCGTGGGGCCTTCTGACAACTCCAATGTTGACTGTAAGTATTACTGAACTGGATGCTTATTTATAAGAGCAAGGGAGAAGTTCTGAGGCATACATCCCCAGGTATATATGTCTAGGTATATGGAATAGCTCTTGATAGTGACTTAAGAGTGCTCGTTCCATTGGGTTGTTTCTACTGTGTGGTCTGAGAACCACCTGCAATGAAACACCTGGGTAAATATTTGTGGGAAGCACTGCACTCTCACTGAACCAGAGTCTTGGGGGTGGTGTTATATGAATGAACTGTATGTATTTAGGAAGATTTTTAAGATACTCTATAATAAATAATCGCAAAGCATTGTTGAAATTTGTAAAATCTTTATGTGGATGTTAACGGTCTTTAACTTAAGGACATAGTAAATAGGAGATTGGTAAGTACCTTGTAACATTGAAAGTAATAATTGTAAGACTGTCCAAATTTCTGTTTTTGGTAGTTTATCTACAACCATTTTCTTCAGAATTTCCTAGCAAGGACTTGGATGTTTGATAAATGGTGTGGTTATAAGGAAGAGAAATACCAAAAAAAAGATTGGAAGCCAGATTTTATGTGCCTACTATTTAACACTTAATTTTAATAAAGCTATTTTAAATTGGCCTTAAGTTTTAGTTGTCTTAAATTTTCTTTGAAAATCATTGGTGGTTAACTCTTCCCAATCATCACTTTGCCTTACCAGATAATCTCTTTGGGTACAGATATCTTTGCTCCCCAATTAAGTTTAGAAAATAGAGAACTTTAGATAGTGGCTATTAGCCAGTTAGCCTTACATAAGATTTTGGTATAAACTTCTTAAAATTTTTTATTCTTCTGGCCCATTGAGCACAGTTTGATTAATGAAAATTATAACTCTGGGTGAATAGTGGACTTACAAAAAATTGCCTGTATCTTTAATCCTCTTTTGGTCTTTCTTATTGCACTTCCTTTTCTTTCCTAGTGCTTTACTACAGTAGGTAAGTAGTCCCCATTCTAAGTTTTGTTCTTTTTTTTTTTTTTTTGACCTGTAAGGAGATCACAACCCTCGGCACGGTGTGGTCCACACCACACTTAGCCAGTGAGCGCACCGGCCATCCCTATATAGGATCCGAACCCGCGGCCTCAGAACTACCAGCGCCGCACTCTCCGAGTGAGCCACGGGGTCGGCCACCCCATTCTTTTTTTTTTTGTCTTTTTTTTGTCTTTTTTTTGTCTTTTTT